ATAATATTTACAAAAGCTACTCAAACGAATAACAGCCTCTTAAAGCAGTCTATGTTATATATTTTCGCAATAGTGTAAAATAACGGTAAAATTTCTTGCAAAACGCAACGCTCTCTGGTCCAATGCCGATGCTCATTTACTTAATTAAGGCATAACTAGATCATCGTGCACACTGTAATTTCGAAGCTATGTTTACTCCTACACACACGAACACACATCAACAATAAAATTTACATTGCTGGTCATTGTGTAAATAGAAATTTCATTTATAGACCGTCGGCTATATACTTAGTACCCGTTGTTAATATATTTCTGTTTTTTAAAGCAAATAAACTTAGCTTCCCTAAAAATTTTCAGGGAATAGCTTAGATAATTTTCTCAAAAATTGAATAATATACGACCAGCTAAGTAAATTTAACTGATAAACAACGAATACGAGCTTTTTTTTTATTGGAGGAAACAGTTGTGATCCCGCCTGCCATTGAAGGCGAAAACAAGTAGTAATTCCGGGTTATTCCAAATGATAGAGCCAATTTAATACATTCATATTAATTCAAGTATAAATTTAGACTTTTATAATTTATACACCAATGGAAAAACAAAAATTCAAAATTTTGTTACCTACTCAAACGACGGCGGCGATGGAAACGGCCGCTAGAGCTCTCGCTCCAGCCAGCCGCCTTCGTGTTCAATTAGTTACGTGTTTACGTATTATGATCAAATTCAAGTAGAACTACTACATTGTTAAATTGTCGATAGTATGTCGATGTCAGGCAAGCAAGCCTTTGTTCTTCAGTTGTATGCCAGATTCCACAAAATACAGTTCCCCAAACCTCTAGTCTCTGCCCATCTTCTTCCTTAGCTGGGACTTAAAAGTCATATGACTAGCAAATGCAACAACGGTCACTCGTGAGTGAGATGGCTGCTGTTGTACAGCACAAGGTTTTCTGCGTTCCTGTTTCCGCTAAAAAAGTCGTTCCGCTAAAAGTGAGTTGCAAGTTAGAGTGCAGCGGGCACTTCGTCTCAAATTCAGTATTGAACCTCTTGGCTGCTGGCGCGAGAACTCAAGCGGCTGTTTCTGCCGTCGCCCAATTCCGTGTTTGAATAGGTAAAAAAATTTAGACCGTCTTTTTCCATTGGTGTAAAAGTTATTAATTCTGAATTTATACTTAGATAAATTCGAATTTATTAAATTGGGTCCATCATTTATAACAACCCTGTACTTTACTCTGAATTAGCAACGGTAATTGAAACCGTTAGGAATTTGAAAACCCAAAAATACGGTTATGATTAGCCAAATTCCAACAATGAAAGACGGTATTTGCAGCATTTGCGTATTATGTTTCAACTTTGGTCTACGGCGTTGAAAGCTCCGTAAAAACTAGACGTTTTAGTTCACCAACAATGAAGGCAGTACAAGGAATGCCGCACACAACTCCTGTATCAGCAGCAAATGATTCGTACATTTTAAAACAATGCATTTATTTTTCTGTTGCGAACACTCAATTTAATACTGGGGAATATTTAACGTTTTGTGAGTAGTAGTAGTACTCAGTGAGTAAGTCTAATCAAAGCAATAACTACTATAAGAGGAGATGCGTTTCTAAATTTGGACATGCCCACGGAGTTGTGTGAGTGCAATAAAAATCAATACATAAATTTGAGAAAAGATTACCCATAGCTATATTCCTTTTAACACAAATTTACACGACTCTATGAAAATGTATACCCGTATTTTACCCAACTAAAATGAATCCTTCAATGTCATTAACCACTCGCCGGATAGTCTAGAAAAATGTAAAAGCTCAACTCATTCATTACTTATCACAAAATTTTCCAAACATACGAAATATCTCCAGTGGACCCACAAAAAGAAGGCTCCTGCCACCCATTTCAACCAAACAAAACCATATTAACAGGAAATTAGCTAAATCCCATGTAATTAATAATCACAAATCCATGATAAAACTACCAGTTCGCAGAATGACGAATAAACTTAATGTCGACAACCTATAATAAAACCTGCATTTGGTTCATATCTGTTCACGTGCACCAGCACTGCAGTATGATAGCTCTAATGACGCGCGGATTTACGCTTATGATATTTGTTACCATTGACCTAAGCCTATTACTATAATATTTGAGAACGACATTGAGCAACGCACCGCCTAATTATGATAAATTGAAGCTATTTCCTCAACGAATTACAGTCGCTAAGCAACAAAAAGGATTAGCTATTTTATCGTATTGACTGTTAGATAAAAATTATTAAGAAATAACTCCATGAAAGGTACATCTAATTTGATAGTCTTGAGACGTGGAAATATCGAACAAATTATCAACGAAAGTTCGAGACATATGTTAATTTTTGTTCGTATAATTGAAAATATATACAAATTATAGCTAACACCTTCTTCAATTTCAGTGACTTCTAAATATTTTCATTAAGACGCATGAGTAAATTTTTGTGTGTATAATTGGAAATACAGTATACACAAATTATAGCTAACACCTTCTTCAATTTCAGTGACTTCTAAATATTTTCATTAAGACGCAGTAGTTAATTGAAATGAACACAGTTTCGTATAAAAGAAGCTGTTCTACACCTATCGTTACGGATATGACTTTTATAAGCAATGATTTGGCAATTGTAGTTTATGTGGAATGTTTTGTATTACACGCCTATGTTCTACGTTTTCATTAATACTAGGAACTAAAGCATCAAAGTTATAATACTATTCGAGTCTCGGCACATCTTCTACAAAAAGGTCCTGAGTTATCTGACGGAAACCACAAGGCTTCATTGCATTCAATGACTAATTAATATATTGTCAAACACTTCGCTATTAGCTCTAGTCTGATCATGGTGCACAGTTCCTACAGGGGAAAAAGTTACAAAACATTAAAATCTTGTTCGAGAATATAACACCAATACAAGATTATATTCCGGCGGCCATACTTTCAAAACTCGCTAAGTGAACGTAAGTACTTACGCTCTATTTTCTTGTCTATGATTGGTGGATTTTGCTTGAAAGGCCGTCAATGATTGGCTGATGAACTTACGACCTCTTAACTTTTTTTGAAGCATGGGCCCAGGGGCCATACTTTCAAAAGTCGCTAAGTGAACGTAAGTACTTACGCTCTATTTTCTTGTCTACGATTGGTGGATTTTGCTCGAAAGGCCGTCAATGATTGGCTGATGAACTTACGATCTCTTAACTTTTTTTGAAAGTATCGGCCCAGCCAGTGCTCTATTAATTGTGAAAATAAGTCGAGTTCGATTCACTCGAAAATTCAACCTGCATGATGTTTGCATATGAATAGGAAAAATATTTAATATTCTGCTGATTGTTGATCGAAACGAAATAATGGAACGGAAAATTCAATATTTGAGTTATTGGAAGCAGTTGCCATTATATTATTGAAAATTCTCCTTGTAACGGATAACTTTTTATATTTAATTAAATTTAATTAAGCGTTGGATTTTAACATTAAATATAACCGCAGCGAAGAAGTTATCTCGGAAAAACATGATGAACTATTTGATGCCGATAATATACTATAAAAACGGGGAATAGTTTTGCATAGCCTGAATTCATTGCCCTAATGCGGTTTCAAACTACATAACAAGCATTATAAGTTAAAAAAGTAAATTGTACAGCAATCAATGGAAATGTTATAATATTATTGAAAATTTTCATGTAAAAATGTTTAAAAATTATATATAGATCCTAAAAAGATCAAGTATGCACATATCGAAGGAATATATATCTCCTGCTAATTATTGACATCCGTTCATTGAAAAAAGTGCACGCAGTGAATGTGGCATATAATATTTTTCAAGCATAAATTATTCCTGCTTAGTAGTGAATTTATAATAATAATACGAGAATAAAATACCTCAATATCCCTTACCCGCTTATTCATCGCACGACGTATTTTTTTAGATTTACCGTGATTACCTGCAAATCAATGTTATCTACCGATCGTAGAGACATGCAAGACGTAAACGCGATCAGAAATCACAACAAAAAAAGCTGTGAAATTAATAATTAAGCATAATAAGTCGACTTTAAAAGAGTTTTGATGTAACTTATGAGCGCGAGGCGAACAATTATTTGCTTCTGAAGTGAAGACTCGGAGTGAATGAGTATTAATGCTACAATGGTCATAAGTTGAATACATGAATGGTTTTTAACGAACATGAGCTCGACAGAAGCATCCTGAGGTTGCGGTAATCAATAAATCGGCTCTGAGGTGCTCAGTATATCACGTGCAAGCTCTAGTGATTTAAAAAATAAAAGACCATGAATTTTGTTGGTCAATCTCCTTACACATCAATCAAAAAATATTACAGTTGTAAATTTTAGGAATAAATTATCAATTAATGTTAATTAAGCTTCTAACAATGTCTGGATAATTTGCATAAATAAACGAAAAATACAATAACTTGAAAAAACATTGTAGAAGGCCCCGGAATTCAGTAATGGAATGGTTGTTCGAAAACACACAAAAAACGAAAAAGATCATACCAGAATACGTGGCATGCATTATAGAAACAATAAAGGTCTTGTTGAGTTACAAGTTAAGTATTACAAATTTACCCCAGTGAAAAAACAATAATACTCTGCCATTGAACAGGTGAAAACAACGCTCATTATTGCGTCCGTAATTCCTAAGTCATCGTACATCCATAGTACAGTTCCTAAGTCATCGTACATCCATAGTACGATTCCTAAGTCATCGTACATCCATAGTACGATTCCTAAGTCATTGTACATCCATAGTACGATTCCTAAGTCATCGTACATCCATAGTACGATTCCTAAGTCATCGTACATCCATAGTTCATTCCTTCTATCGCTTCCCTGCCGCTGCGCAAATTTTTCCATAAAATTTTAAAAATAAGCGAATTGCAGGCACTTAATCAGAACATTTTAGCTGAAGTTGGCGTCAGCCTGATAGCCGTTTTCCGTACTAGCGAAGCGATTGAAGCACACCTAGACGATAGCGTCAACTGCACCATTGACGCATACATTGCGTACATTGATAAAAAGACGACGAGTTAACACCAAGGCCGACACATTTCAGTAGCTTGCGCTGTGAAAATCAAGAACATCGATAATATTGGACACTTCATCCCATGTTGTTTCACTCATTTTGGTTACTTTAATTAAGAACGGCTCTGAAATGCTCAAGCAGTTGGGACATTTTGACGAGTGGCTGTGACTAGAATACTTACAAACGAAATACATCATTGTATATTATATCTGATTATAGTTTTGATTGTTCATTAATTCATTTGAACNTAAAAAATGCATGGTGTCTTTAAAAAATGCATGGTGTCTTTATTAAATGCATGGTGTCTTTAGTAAATGCATGGTGTCTTTAAAAAATGCATGGTGTCTTTATTAAATGCATGGTGTCTTTATTAAATGCATGGTGTCTTTATTAAATGCATGGTGGCGACAATGCATGGTGTCTTTAAAAAATGCATGGTGTCTTTATTAAATGCATGGTGGCGACAATGCATAGTGTCTTCAGATCCAATAAAATGGATGTGTTTGAGCTAATAAGTGCACGCACAGATAAAACTAGCAAGCTATGTAACTCTACATCATATTCACCCATTGCCGTTTATGTCACATTCTGGCGATTTATACCTCGACAAAATGTTATGGTGAAAAGTTAATCAATGAGAAGAAGCTTTTGTTCTTGAGAACATAATTAAAAAGTAGCCGCGCTTTATGATTTAAAAAACAAATCTAACAATGGAGATGTAGAATCAGAATCGAAAATTGTTAGACGAGAAGAAATTAATTCAATTAAATTTCCTCCCTTTGGAAAATTGGATGAAAAAAAGGCAAGAAAGTATAAGTGTTTCTTCCGTGCTAATCAGAATCAAGCAAAGACATCGCAAGGAAGAGAGATTGTTTCTAGCTCCCACGAAGAACTCACTCAAAGAAACTTGAAGCTAAAACTATTTTTTTCGGCATAAGAAAAAACTTGAAACATTATAAAAGGAAAAAGCTCACAGAATTTCTGAAAATATGAAACAGAATAAACTTGAACTTTCAAAATAAATAGGAAAGCAAGCAAGTATCTCTCTTAACACATTTTGGCCGTTGCCAAGGTTACCGTAGGAGGCCCAGTCTGTGACAGGACCGATGGCAGCGACGCATTTAAGGAGACCGTCTCCGTCCTCCTGTAGCAGCCGTAGGGTGTTGTAACCCTCGTGCGCCCCCCACCCCCACGCCCCCACCCGGTCAGCATCCACCAGGTCCAGCGTCTCGCCAAGGTACCTACACGTTTACATGCCAAATTTCACGCTGAAACTCAGTGAAAAATAGTCTGCATTTATTTAGTTAAATTTATGGCCTTCTATAACTACTTACAGTATCAATCGGTGAAGCTATCAACCATATTCAGTGTAAAAAACGATTCTCGCAACGGGAATTATTAATAAATGATTTATGGGTTGACTGATTTGTGGGTTGACTGATTTATGGGTTCACGGTCCCTGAAACAAATGTGTTTCAGGGACCGTGAGAACATTGCTTACTGGGGTAGATAAAAGTTTCATCAGTTGAACGGTCTAGGGCAAGTACCTAAATTCTCCATAATTAAATAATTGGGTTGACACAGTACGAGTGGAGAGGAATTCTAAATAATGGGTTGACTTGAATATCTTACTTGAAAAAAATTGATAGACGTTTTTGCACGCCAATGCAAACTAAATGCAAATAAAGTCGTTCTCCAGTCTTGAGCGTTCATGCCTTCCATACACTCGAGCTGGGGCACTCGTTCCATAACAACATTTGAATTTAGATTCATCATTAATTCATAACAGAAGCACTTTAAGTATTGACATGAATTAGGTGCTCAAATCGTAACTGAACTAACTACTAAAGAGAACGCCAAGAGGATTCATCGTAGTTCCTTTAAAAATGTACCCAAGGAAAATGCAATGATCAATCTTAACATTTTCTACCATCTGAATTATTGGGAAGCAAATTCCATAGTATATCATTTCGCAACATTTTTTCCGTTACAGAGATGACTAGCCGTTATTAATTCATGTTATAATAAATTTTCGGCTTCATCTGGTACCTCACATTACTCGATGTAAACAGAATGAAGCTATAAATTCTTATATTATAAGTGTCATATGCATGTCCTAATTTCATTACTACTGTAATGGAATAAAATGCACGGTGTAATAACATAAATAAAAATCAATTCTCATTTAATAAGGGATTATTGTAATTTAACAAATTTTTCTGTTTAAATCATGAAAGATAACAAATCTCACTTGATGATAAATAAAAATAAATTCTCATTTAACGAGTAATTATTGTAATAAAACAAGATTCTCTTTTTAAATCATAACAGATAAAACCAACTTAATAAGGGCAGTTATAGAACAAATTTCTCTATTTTAAACATGAAAGATAACAAATCTCACTTGATGAGAAATAAAAATCAATTCTTATTTAACAAGGTATTATTGTAATAAAACAAGATACTATATTTTAATCATTAAAGATAACAAAACTGACTTAATAAGGGCAGTTATAAAACAAGATACTATATTTTAATCATTAAAGATAACAAATCTGACTTGATGAGAACAGTTATAGAACAAGTTTCTCTGTTTAAATCATGAAAGATAACAAATCTCACTTAAGATAATAAAAATACATTCTCATTTAACGAGGTATTATTGTAATTAAACAAGTTTCTCTGTTTTAATCATGAGAGATAACAAATCTGACTTGATAAGAGCAGTGTAGTCGTGCGCCTCGGCCGTGCCTAGTGACCAGGCGGGCTGGTAGTACTCGGCGAGCTCCTGGCCACCAGCGCCTCTCACGTCCATCTGCAGCACTACCCACGATCTGTGATGCACCAAGCGAGATTAACGCTTCATCAAAAAGTTTTTGAGAAATTATTTGAAATTAGTCTTAAATGTTGCAGGAGACTAATGAGTTAATATTATGTTATAGGAATATTTCTCACAATGCAAGTATTTGTAAATCGAATGAAAAAATTTATTATTGATGGGTGGATACAAAAGCAGTAGAAGATTGGTTTGGAATACCTTCCTAGGTATGGCAGCCTATTTACTATTGGGAAACTAACTAAACCTCCATGACTAATCTAGCAAGTGTATGGTATCACTTAAATATATACATGTAACGTACAAGAATTAATCGAGAATTTACTATTATAACAAATATAAATATTTAAAAATGAATTAATAAATAATTATATTTGATCAGATATGCACCTGTTGCTGACAAAGTAGGTGTCCAGTGAAGCACCCCATTTGTGGTTGACAGTTTGCTCGCCCGTGACGCCCGTCACCCTGACGATGGTGGTGTGCCCCAACACCGACTTCTCCTCCACGATCTCGGGCGGTATCGTCATTCTAACCTGCGGCGTCAAAATCAAATTCATGTGACAATTCACCACACACCCGTTTGTATGTTTCTTCGTTTATTCTGTAATAAATAAATAAACTAATACATTAAGTGAGTGCAATACATTAAGCGAGGTTAGATTAAGTGTGATGCATTAAGTGAGGTTAGAAAGCTCACTTTTCAAATTGTATAACATTTTACTGCCCAATATCCTTTCTGATCAGTTAACCACATTGGCGCACTGCGTATATAGTTGCAAAATTTACTTTTAAATTTTGAATTTTCTACAAACTCGTCATTGAAATATTCAGGATAAAGACAATACAAAATATATTATACGCGTCGTAGGCCAATAAATTTGAAAAATCTCCAACTAAACGCAACCACAAACCTAGTTCCTAGTTACAGCCTAAAACCGAAAATATTTCTAATACATGTGCAACTTTGCGTATTAATTCCCTTATCATTACTGATGCAACTCACGGTCGCCGTAAAGCCGTTGTCAAGTCGTATCCTAAAGTCCCGTATTTGCGGCCACGCCATACTGTTGCTCAGGTTAAGAAGGTGTGAGTTGTTTTGTATGGTGTATATCACTTCCTCGTCCAGCAGGGAGTAGAGCAGCGTGTGTGGCACTGAGGGACCTTCACAGTATAGCATCACCTGTACAAACATCAGCCAAATATAGAATATATTTAAACTTAGACGTGACATCGCTCCATTAATTGCAAGTTAAGAACTTTTGGATGTGGTTCAAGGAATATGTCTAAAAAATATGTGTAAGCAATTCAGGGAGAACGAAATTATTAAATTTCGATGATATTTCAACATTCTACTCATATTAAAATTATTCGTTCAGTAACCCCCTTACCTATTCGCTGTGAAATCATTTTAAAATCGCGATGGAAGAAGGACGGACAATAAGAACGCACAATTGACGGGAAAATTGAAATTGTAATGTACGTGATTACTTCAGATGCCTAATATGAATTGGAACATAACACACACTCAATAAATACGAAAACTTATACAATGTAATTTTATTATTAGGGTACACTTGACACTAAAATATACGAATTGAAGCAATAATTATATCAGAATACACGAAAAATTGTCAATCTAATAATACCAGACACTAAAATATACGAAATGAAGCAATAATTAGAACTAACGAGTTCGATGTTGCTGCGATGGAAAACAGGAGTGTAGTGACGACAAGATCTGGTCGAGGTGTTGGTCAGGGGACATGTGAGGCATTCTTGCATCCGTGGCACCGCAGCCTGCATGTCTGTCACTCGCCACAGATGTCGCTCCGACGGCGCATCCAAGTCGTTGGCTTCGTAATAACTGCCCGGTGTAACAAGTCATGTTTTGGGTATTGATTGACAAGTCGTTTGCTTCGTAATAACTGCCCGGTGTAACACGTCATGTTTTGGGTATTGATTGACAAGTCGTTTGCTTCGTAATAACTGCTCGGTGTAACAAGTCATGTTTTGGGTAATGATTGACAAGTCGTTGGCTTCGTAATAACTGCCCGGTGTGACAAGTCATGTTTTGGGTATTGATTGACAAGTCATTTGCTTCGTAATAACTGCTCGGTGTAACACGTCATGTTTTGGTATTGATTGAAGTTTGTAAGTGGGATGTCGTAATTGAAAGGAGGAAAATTATTTAAAATTTGTTACAAGTTGAAGCACGACCTTTGTCATTGACAAGTCATGTTTTGATTATTGTTGAAGTTTGCAAGTGGTACGTCGTAATTGAAAGGAGAAAAATTATTTAAAATTTGTTACAAGTTAAAGCCCGATTTTTGTCATTAAAGTGGAATTTCTCGAATCTTCAATGAAGTAACTGAGAATGAATTTCGCCAGTGAAAATCTCAAAAGTATTATTTTTAAGAATATTTTTCTTAATTAATGAAACCATTTGGAAAAAATTCAATGAAATATTAAAACAATTTCTTGATACAGAAGTAATTATGTCGTCAGTGATATATGTAAATTCTCATCTAGTTCTGCGATGCTGCACTTATTTACTGTCGAGTGTTTTTTAACAAAAATATAACTCAGTACTCACTGCAGTGAGTGACAGAGAGCGCATTTTCTCGTCGACGAAAATGTGAAGTCACGGACGGACAGACAGACGGACGGACAGACGGACATGGCGAGCGCAATAGTGCATTTTTTCCATAAATGAGAAAATGCGCTAAAAAAGAAATAATTGAACCGTAGAGTTTCAAAGGCTCACACAAAGTGCCTGTGGACGTCCCAGGCTAGCACCCTGAAGACCGTGTACGGTCCGTGGGTGAGGGGAGTCTTGTGCTTGGTAAATTTGTTACAAGTTAAAGCACGACCTTTGTCATTGACAAGTCATGTTTTGGGTATTGATTGAAAATTGTAAGTGAGATGCCGTAATTAAAATTAAAGCGAAAATTATTTAAAATTTGCTACAAGTTAAAGCACCATTTTTGTCATATGAGCCGAATTTCTGTAATCTTCGATGAATTGCTTAAGAATGAATTTTGCCAGTGAAAATTTCAAAAGTATTGATTTGTATAACAATTTTTTTAATTAATGAAACAATTTGGTAAAATCAATGAAATTTCGAATAATTTGGTGATACAAAACTAATTCTGTTGTCAATAATATAAAAAATTCTTATCTAGTTCTGAGGTGCTGCACTCATTTACTGTCAAGTGTTTATTAACAAAAAAAAATGAAATTATTTAACCGTATAGTTTCAAAGGCTCACACAAAGTGCCTGTGGACGTCCCAGGCTAGCACCCTGAAGACCGTGTACGGTCCGTGGGTGAGGGGAGTCTTGTGCTTGGAGTTACGCCCTCCCTGGTGTATGTGAGGGAACGATCCCATCTCGGCATCAAATAAGGGACTCAGTGTAACGTAGTGGCTTACGTTGATACCGAACACCGGCGCCGCCCGCCCGACCACCCACCTCTGGGCGTCACTCTCTTCAACTGTCAACTATAGAAATGCATACAATTTATAAATAACTAATACATGAAATAAACCTAAGAAGACCCAAGAAATACAACCCAATGAAATAGACCCAAGAATAAATTTAGTCAGAAGTGAGTTGAGGACATCTTCCAAATCATCGACAGTGTCGATTAACAGTAATTTATTAATCTATTTATGTTAGTTGATTACCTCTTCGCAGTACCACATTGGAGGAGAACAGATGCTCGTGACGCTGACGTTCTGCTGTCGGTTCCGCCACACCACCGACACTGTGGATAAGTCCACCCACTTCACATCTGTCAGGTAGTGGTCGCTGCACGGGCAAATGAAAATGGGGTATAGAAAAAGTTTTTAAGTGCAGGAATTGTGTATGTATACTTCTATATGCAATCATCGTGAATATTATAGGGGTCTATCAATTAATACATTTGCAATATATCAGTCATTTGGAATCATAGTTCATAAATTAAATTCTCTTTATAAGAGAACGAAATCGGCCATTAGTCGCTCAGTTTAGTGCGCGATGTATGATGCACAATATTCAAACTGAAGAGGCATTTTTTTAAACCATTTGCGCAATTTGTTTTCAATGTCCATAAACAATCAATTTTATTGCGAGAACGAAGTAAAATGGCATTGCACGTCTAAAGGCTATTTAAGCAAAAAAAAAAATAAGAGATGAAGTGTAAACAAACATGCAAGTACTGAGAATTTCAGGCATCAATGTAGAAGTATTTATAGATAATCTAATGGCATTGAATTTAAGTGGATTCGCTATTCAAATGAGTGACTTGAAAGAGTTTGAGCGTATTGAGCATTGAGTGCATTTGTGAAAACTTAAAACACATTTAAGTCCTTTAAAAACACATTTAAGTCTACCATTTAACACATTGGCTTTACACATTTGTGTCACGTGTAAAGCCAATAACTCACTGTGCATGTATTCTGGCTGGCGGCTTCAGCTCCACGCTCTCAGGAGGATTGGATGCGTTGCCTCTTCTCAGCTCGACTACGAATAGCGTGACTTTGGGGTTCGTCGCGTCAACCTGATAATAAAAAATATATACTAAAAACACTTTATTTCGTTCAATGATTATTAGGAATGAAATTAATGGACCTGTCTCCGAATATATCATTTTTAATCTTTGAAAAGCGTCGATTCTTCGGAATTGAATTGACTTTGCACAGGTACGAAAATAATTTCCTCAATTTAAGCTTGAAAAAATCTAGGTTATTCGAGGCACTTATCTACGTTAAATTCGTTTTGGTTCAAAAATGATTATATCACTAGAAAACAAGTGTAATCAGGAGTAAAAAAACATAAATGACTTTGGATTAGAATTTCATCCGTTGGAAGTGACCCATCCACACTTATATGAAACACGAATTGGTTCAATTTTTACTGCAACAATATCCATATTAAAGGGATGCTTCGTAGGATACAATACAATCCTTCTTACCAAAGGATATTTAAGTTTAAGCAATGACATATCCTCTCCCCTGTACGACAATATATAGGCACTGAAGAGACGCTGGAGTCGTTACGAATTGGTTCAATTTTTGCTTCAACAATAATTAACCATATTAAAGAGAAGCTTTGTATAGTACAGTAAGAAATGCTTCTTACCAAAGGATATTTAAGTTGAAGCAATGACATGTCTTCTCCCCTGTACGACAAAATGGGCACGGAAGAGACGCTGGAGTCGTTACGAATTGGTTCAATTTTTGCTTCAATTAAACATATAAAAGAGAAGCATTGTATGGTACAAAATGAAATGCTTCTTACCAAAGGATATTTAAGTTGAAGCAATGACATGTCTTCTCCCTTGTACGACAATATGGGCACGGAAGAGACGCTGGAGTCGTTACGAATTGTTTCAATTTTTGCTTCAACAATAATTAACCATATTAAAGAGAAGCTTTGTACGGTACAATAAAAATTGCTTCTTACCAAAGGATATTTAAGTGGAAGCAATGACATGTCCTCTCCCCTGTACGACAATATGGGCACGGAAGAGACGTTGGAGTCGTTACGAATTGGTTCAATTTTTTCTTCAACAATTATTAACCATATTAAAGAGAAGCTTTGCATGGTACAGTAAGAAATGCTTCTTACCAAAGGGTATTTAAGTTGAAGCAATAAGAAATGCTTCTTACCAAAGGATATTTAAGTTGAAGCAATGACATGTCCTCTCCCCTGTACGACAATATAGGCACGGAAGAGACGCTGGAGTAGTTACGAATTAAGTCAATTTTTGCTTCAACAATAATTAAACATTTTAAAGAGAAGCTTTGTATGGTACAGTAAGAAATGCTTCTTACCAAAGGGTATTTAAGTTGAAGCAATGACATGTCCTCTCCCCTGTACGACAATATGGGCACGGAAGAGACGCTGGAGTCGTTACGAATTGGTTCAATTTTTGCTTCAACAATAATTAAACATATTAAAGAGATGCTTTGTCAGGTACAAAAAGAAATGCTTCTTACCAAAGGGTATTTAAGTTGAAGCAATGACATGTCCTCTCCCCTGTACGACAATATAGGCACGGGAGAGACGCTGGAGTCGTTACGAATTGGTTCAATTTTTTCTTCAACAATAATTAAACATATTAAAGAGAAGCTTTGCATGGTACAGTAAGAAATGCTTCTTACCAAAGGATATTTAAGTTGAAGCAATGACATGTCCTCTCCCCTGTACGACAATATGGGCACGGAAGACACGCTGGAGTCGTTACGAATTGGTTCAATTTTTGCTTCAACAATAATTAACCATATTAAAGATAAGCTTTGTATGGTACAGTAAGAAATACATCTTACCAAAGGGTATTTAAGTTGAAGCAACGACATGTCTTCTCCCCTGTACGACAAAATGGGCACGGAAGAGACGCTGGAGTCGTTGAACTGAGCGTAGCAGAGCATCGAACCTTCGCTGTTGACCCAGAGAGCTGACCTCGACTTGAACACGTACTCTGATGAGAGCAAAATTCTGAGAGGCCTTCGTTTGGTTCAACATCGTAAGGACTTTGAGGAGCTTTGTGGCGCAGTTCGGCAAATGGGTTCTTCTAAAAGCTTCCGGGTTGCTGCTTCCTAATTCTTAAAACCGATTTGCTATGATGTGAATCGAAAGCATAAAATTTTCAGGGGAAGCTTTGAAAAAGTGAAAAGCTGTTGATGCCTACGAGGCCTTTACAGGAACTTTGAGAGCTTCGGGAAATACCTGGTCAAAATACACCTATGCTTACATGGCTGAATCAAATGAGTTGTACAATAACTTGTCTTTCAAGCCATATGCGAATAAAACTGTTAAAAACATATGAATATAGGTACCAAATTTTGACAGAGCTTAACTATTTAAATGCTGAATAAAAAATGTAAAAAATAGTTAAATGAAATCGGCCTTTCTGTAACTTGAATATCACATTTTCCGAATGTAAAAACAGAAGTTCACAATTAATATTTCAAACAAATTGTGTGTATTATAATTTTAATGTAAAACTCACTGAAATAAAGGTAGTCGGTTATTCCGTTATAAACGGGCCCCTCGGGTGAATCATCACCCGACGACGTGAGTCTGATCACCACGGGTGACGTAGGACTGCTTTTAAAATAGAGGTTATTTTTATAGACGAGCAGCAGTGACGTGGTAGGGCCAACCCACGTGACGTGTTGGAGCGGAGGGTGCGTATCGTCCAGCGGCGACGGGGATATTGATTCCACGTGTCTGGGGGTGAACAATTCGTGCAAGATCTTAGATAAATTTTATGCATGAATGGTGTAATAAAAATATAACTCAGTACTCACTGCAGTGAGTGACTGAGAGCGCATTTTCTCGTCGATGACAACGTACAGTCACGGACAGACGGACGGACAGATGGACAGACGGACGGACATGACGAGCACAATAGGACATTTTTTCCATAAATGAACAAATGCGCTAAAAATGGTCACACAGATTAGAACCAAATGTGTATCATCAAAAAGTTAATGAATCTCCTAGTTATATAAAAGTTAAAATTTTATGTGATTTATAGGAACCAAAGCCTTATTGAGGAAATTTGTTCAAATGATGTAAGACTAAATTAGATGCTATCGAATAATACATACAACGTTAAGACAGTAATGATTCAATATCCAAAGAGGTCATTTAACGAAAGAAAAAAAATCATTCAAATCACTCATTGAAAATATATAAACATTCAAAAAATTCTATAATAATAACATATTAATTTAAATAAATTATATAATGATCATATATACATTCAAATACATTATATAATAATTATAATAATAATAATAATATATTCATTCAAATGATAAACTAGCTATATAGCTACATAGAGCTAATGTGCTATATTCGTACAGCTCGCAACATAATAGAAAGCCCTATTAAATGCAACGAATAACAAAGTTCAAGTGTAACAAAACTCACTCAGTGCCGGACTCCATCGCGGTATATTTCGCCAGGTGAATATGGTTGTAACTCTGTAAAAAACAATTCAAAATTCAAGACCATCCATAATAACTGTTTTAGGTAGCAATGTGTTTTACTCTCTGGAATAAGTTGACAATCCATTTCTGGACAATTCATAATAAAAATGTTGCCTCAAGCGCAGTCGGTCGTTTTTAAGCAGCGTTAGACCCAGCTTGTGAGGGTGTACAGCTGGTGACATGCAGATGTTGCTAAAGCATAGTTGCTTTTGTTTCGATTTTTCCTCCCAAACTCTTAATTTAACCCCCGATGTAAAGGGCAAAATTGTACAATTAAAATCATGCACTGAGGGCTTAAATTTTTGTTCAGATGCATCACTTCACAAGAGAACGGAGGGCATCTATGAGTACACCAACCGAGACAATGTCTAGCGTGTGGAAATCATCTGAACCATGTGATGTTCATCATTACAATCCGGAAGTATTCAATTTCTATGCATCCCTAGGCAAAGTTTCGAAACTTTGCGCTAGTAAAAAATGTTTAATTTTAGAAAACTTTACATTTAAACTTTAAACTTTCGTTATCAATCTTAAAATTAGAGTATTGGCACCTCTCACGTGATTAATGGCCCTAATATTCGACTGCTAGTGTATTTTTAACATTTTTTGCCGTAACCAATTTCGAAATTAGCATGCAGGGCAAGCTGAGAGCAGCTTGATTAGAAACCAGCCAGCATATGAAGTATGGTGATACATTTTATATTATTGTATTACAACTATCCGCAAGTTAAAAAAATCAGTTAAAATTTCGAATTAATATAGATAATTAATTATTCATACCATTGACGCTTTAAAACACGATAAAATAATAAAAGACTTATTTTTATATTATTATATCAATAAGTTCTAGTAAATTACGCTTCAGAATTAAAAAAAATCAATCAATTGTTTCTGTTACGTGTTTACGTATTAGGACCAAATTCAAGTAGAACTACTATAGTGTCAATAGTAGGTAATGTAAGGCCAGCAAGCCTTTATGCCTCAGTTGTATGCCAGATTTCACCAAATACAGTTCCCCAAACCTATATAGTCTCATCTCGGCCCATCTTCCTCCTTAGCTAGCTTGGACTTTGAAGTCATACGATCAGCAAACGTAACAATTTCCATGAACTGACCTTGTAGCCATCGTGTCGGAGGAGGACGTACTTCTTATCAGGAGACACGCGAAACTCGTGCACTGTCAGCCTCCGCTGGACAATGAAGAGAAATATGAAACGAACTCCATTTATCATTATAACTTATATTTAAAATGATGCAAATAATCTGAAACACAAATTTCCCCACGCTCAGCGGATGGGAATTGAAAGTTCGTTTCAGGAAAAAAGTTCTAGAATCCTTCGTGTAATTACAGTAGATGCGAGACAACCGCCAAATTTATTGTCAATTACCAAACAAACTTGGAATTCGCCGTGTTTCTCTGATAGAACATAATTTTCAATTTCATAATTAATAAATATCAGTGGTGATTTAAAGCATATGAATTAACTTGTGTGATTGAACGGAAAAAATGCTTTAGTTTACTATTTCAACATCTCTCTCTCTCTCTCTAAGGTACTCTTTTTCATGCTGCTCAATCAAACTCATAATTCATTGGTATATAATACTAGAAAAACCTGAACACATAGCGAGCTTAATTAAAGAACACGGGATAACTTAAAAGAAATCGCTTGAGCTACTCGTTGATACAAAACAATTATATTGAAATAATTTCGTCGGGATATCGCGGCAACAGCTCAGCCGTATATCCCACGCCTGTATTACAGCAAGCAGTGATCGAGCCGCTAACATCCAAGACGGATCAAGCCAAGGCAGAGTAATACATTGGGTTCTATAGCGAGAGAATTAAAGTCCTTTCAAGCGTTGCAACGCTATACGTCTTATCAGGCAAGTCCACACGCGCAAGTAATGTCATAAATGGGAAGAATGAAAGATTCTCCACGCAATTAATATTACAGCCTTAAATCAAATGTAAGTAATCCAATTAATTATGTGATCATTGAAAATTTGGTGATACGTTTGAATCATACGTGACACGTATGTACACAATTTGAATATATATGATACAGTGCTAAATGCTCGGGTCGTTAACTAAATACCAACAAACTGAAAAATAAATTCTTCACCTTATCATACTCGTTTTTATTTGAAACTCGAGGTAAAAGTTAAGCTTCGTTTATTGATCGTCACTTAAAAATTGATTCTTGCTGTTTGTAGTGTAAAATTCTTCAAGTAAATTGTAAGTTTGAAAATTTTATAAAAAACAGTAACTCACTTTGACCATTCGCTATCATTTCGGGTAGAAAATCGATGAAAAACAACCCGCATCGTAACAAGAACATTATATTCATTAGTCTCAAAAATATCGCTGCTGCGTTACGTTGCTTTATATGTAATTACAAGGGAAGAAAATATATCCGACTTACAAAAGTGAGGTGGGAGATGAGTTTGGTGACGGTGAAATTGTTGACGTCCAGCACGGAAACTCCGTTGTCTTCGTCTCTGTAGGCCACGTCACTCGCTGCAAGATAAATCAATTTGCTTTTAATTGGGAGAGCTTGGAATAAATTTATCGACGGTGTAGCAATTGCACACTGTAACTTAATTCATACCATAGAAGAAGTTTCATGTGGACCCAATAATCTTTATGTAGCTAAAAAAATGTTTATTCTTGTTTATTGTTTATTCATGTAAAAAAAATGTTTATTCTTGTAAACTAAATGAAAATAAGTCCTCGGGATTGGTCCATCAGACAAAAATGAGAAATAAAGCATGATTTAACTCATCGAATAGAATAATGTCACATCTGTCTATAATAAGATAAATGTTGCAAATTAAATCTTTAATTAATTGCTACAGGACGAAAATGCATATCTTACAAAGTTAAATTTTTGGGATATATTTGTGTTCCTGGTCTCTTTGGGAGTCTTTGCTAAATATCACAACAAATTGTCAACACAAATATATGTTTATTTCATTATAATTCCGCAGTTAAAGACTAAATTTTCATCTTTTTGAAGTGATTTTAAAAAGAAACATAAATTATAATCGAAGCTTCAACATCGAAAACTAAAATTAGGATGCAGGAATTATCAAAAAATGAATTGTCTCACTTCGACTTAAACGTAGAAATCCGCACAAAAACATGAGCTCTAAAATTTTACGGGTAAAACTTACGAAAATTATTCATATATTTCAATGCTGTCTTATATCGTGGAAATAAATTATATTTGGGTAGGTAATACAAATAAAGGTTGCAGTAATTAAAATTTAAATTGAATGTGCCACAATTAAGAGGCTGAGTGGTGCTCAAGAAACTTCAATGTGATTGAATGAAAGTTGGAGGAGGCACTCAAATATACTAATTGTATTTCTCCAAATTATTAATTTGACAACTTCGTCTTTCTAGAAAATTGGGAAGCCTGTCCAGTTTTTCATGTTTTTTTATACGTTTGAGGACATTTTTTTTGGGTAACTGATGTCAAGGTCCAAAAGTCCCGGCGAATTGCAACACTATCCCACAGCAAAAATAAAACATAAATTATTTCCCTTCGTGTAACATGTTCTTCAAATTTATCCGTTTATCCAGTTCACTGGAATAATTTGTACCTGAAAATTTTCACGGGTATTGCAGTAAGTGCTGGCAATCAATTAGCGCTCAGGTTGCGTGATGGAGGCCCAGTTTAGCTGATTAGGAGAGAACCCAGCGTACGTGTCGCACACGACAGCACTTCCCCAGAGTACAGCGCCCTACATTTTCTGACATTCTTTTGTGTCTTATTGCGAAAAACTGATGTGGCATTATATTCATTTGCATCTAGTCGGCTGTTTGTTAGAGATCAAGCGCTAAATTCAACCTCAATCCAAATCAAAAGGGGGTACCTAGATAAATAAGAAAATTAAACTGGATCGCACTCATTTTTGGTTCATTTTCATCGAAACGATCAATTTGAAAAGCTACCATATTGATATTATTATGCGAGTCAGGGCTACAGGAAACAACCAGCCAGAAGTTTGTTAACAAATTTTGGCAGAATTGCAGCTAATCCGCGTCAATGGAAAGATTTTTATCGGATAAGACTCAAATATATTTTCCGAGAGCGAGGCCTTATTAAAACTCATAGGCAGCAATCTTATTTCCTAAGTTGTTTGCATCGTACTGCATGGAATAATTAACATTTTCTTTATATATGTTCTCGGTTCACAGAAAAAGTCCCTCACTAGCTGCCTGCTATCGTGGAGTGAAATGCATTATACATTTTTCAAACAAATATCATGAGAAAGGCTGAATAAAAATCACTGAATATTTGCTTGATCTCCAGATATATTAATTCCTCCAGAGAATATTCGACTTCAAATTTTGAACTGAATCTTTATTTGATCTCCCTAGAGCATTTCAAATTATAGGTCATCTTATATTTTATTCGGTGCTTCATAATAACCGTATCCTTCCAACCGGAGGCAATGTATTAATATTTATTATTATAAAAAATACTTGATATTGTGGATGGAATTTAGTGTTTTGGGGAAGCTATTATAACGATCTTGGGACTGCTATTCTTTTGTTCTCAGTTTGACAATAACGCCGACTTATTTCTTGACCTAACAAGCTCGTTTTTGTCCATTTTAGAGCAATATTTGAACTATCGCTCCAGCGCCGTAGAGACACTCGATTTTAAACGTGGAAATTTGTTGTGTCTCATGACAGAGCAAATTTACTCTGAAAAGATCGGATGGCTTCTTGGATTGCGAGATTTTGTAAAGAGAACAATTTTTATATTGTTAGATTTTGCGTATCGTGATCAATGTCTAGTGAGAGTCTATTAGAAGGTTGTGATTGTTTCTTCTCAGTCATTTTGTAAGATTTATGCTTCTAAGTTTAGATTAGTTTTTATTACTTGGCTACGCGTAATTGGAGGTATTGCAAATTCAACTCCAATATTGAAATTAAGCGAACATTTTGAGGTACACGCATGACCGGTCATACCAATTGGAACTGTTGCCTAAATAGGATATTTCATATATGTAATACATAAATACTAGCGTAAATATTCCAATTCAAGTCATGCTACACCCGGTGCATTTCCTTATTTATTAAATTATGAAAAAATATTCTATCAAACTATTAGGTAAGTCCTGATTTATTAAATTATGCTAGAATATTCTACCGACGATTGAAACAAAATATCCAGCTTACGTGTAATCCAGTGCGCTTCAAATTGTGGTGCCCGGAACTTGTTACTGACGATATCTTGCAGGGTGAAGCGATCTCCTGTGAAGTTTGGCCCCCGGTCAGGCGGGGAGAGAAGGATGACCGAGCACACGATCAGCCCGATTACTAAGCCGATCACCACAAGCGCGATCAGAACACCGCGCCAGTTGCGCTGATCCGGCGTAGACGCCACTAGCTCCTGAGGAGTAGGAAAATATAATTAGAATGGAAAAATTAAAATACAGTCGGAATGGAAAAATTAAAATACTGTTGGAACGGAAAAATTAAAATACAGTCGGAATGGAAAAATTAAAATATAAACAGAATGGTAACATTAAAAAATATAACTCAGTACTCACTGCAGTGAGTGACAGAGAGCGCGTTTTCTCGTCGGCGAAAACGTGAAGTCACGGACGGACAGACAGACGGACATGACAAGCACAATAGTGCATTTTTTCCATAAAATGAGAAAATGCGCTAAAAACAGTCGGAAAAAATACAGTCGGAAATATCTCTGAAAATAAGATGACATTCATTTCCAGGATGAATGTATGATATGGTTCTTTGCTGAGCATTTGACTTTCTGACCTGTAAAAATTGCGGTTGGGGCATCAAAAAACAGTAAATACTTTTCTTCTAATTTAGTAGTGAATTGACGCTCGCTACTCAACATTGCCAGAATTAAAAAGATACACTACCCTGACAATAGTTCATCATGTCACCTCAAAAATACCTTTGACCGTAATTCACTAGAGTTTCCCATCGCGTATTGTCAAAGCTACGAGCTAGCCTCTTTGTCACATAGAGGTGCCACAGTTCCTCTCATGCCGCGAGCCAATTGTTGCCCAAACAAATAGCCAGAATTTGTTCCTGTCTACGGCCGAAGCTTGCAAGTCAAGTGTTTTATTGGAACTGCCGTCCAATATGAAGAGCACGGCTGGCTTCATTCTATGGATAAAAGATCTACTGTTTCTTCTCCGAAATTAATATCACGCAATATTAACAGAACATATTGAAGGCCCTTGAAACGGAAATGAGGGTTTGCAAAAACACAGTCTAAAAAGTAAGATCGAACTCCAAAAAGTTGGGTAAAATCCAATTTGCGAGTTTTCCATTAAAACAATCTAATTTAAGATGCGACCGCATTGCTGGTGACCGTCTTGCTTCATTTCAGTAAAAATTTAACGCGAGACGAACAAGTTGGGTTCAGCTTAACTGGTTGATTCGAGTAATTATTGATTTCTTATGAAAATAAAAAAATGATTACAATTTTATAACGCTGTATGTAAATGTTTAAAAACATTTTCAAACAATTGAAACGAAAAAAATCATCACTTTCATATCGCGAGAAAAATCATTGTTCACAGAAATACGATTACCCTTTCGCCATCACCTCCGACGATCATTTCTGTGGACAATTGCCATAATTCTCTCAGAACAACATCCTCTTCCGCGCCCCCTGACCACCGCTATCAAAAAGATATTGTTCGGTTGTCACGTAACCATCGTCTTAATTCTGCTCCTGGATTTTTTGTAAGAATACGAGTAAAAACGGAATTTTTTAATAAACATGTCACATAAATTAACATATTTTTTTCGACCTTAACGACGAGTTTTTAATTCTGTTCATTTAACTCGGTTCTGCTGAAGACTTCCGAAAAAGAATTGTTAATTTTATGAAAAGACATTGTGCATATGGAAGCTCCAACTTCTTGATATTCGTATATTTTCAACGAAGCAACGAAAAAAATTATAAATATGGTATAATTCGTACACATTACTAACATTTCGAAGTATATCGCTGCCTCAAGCCATAATATAAATAAATGCCAATAGTCATAAGACATGATTTCGTTTATCTCGGATATTTAAATAGAAGAATCTGAGTGAAAGTACCCGATTTTACTTCAGTGTCAAAAATTTGTACTTCGCTGTAAGTATTTTCATTTATCGAAAGAGAAAAGTAAAAATTAATGAAAAAAGCTGCATCATTAACTATCATGACATCTAATGCTGGTGAAATTTGTCATCAAGGATAGTAAGTGCGTGTATCGATTCAAAGGATAATACACGAGGTCAGCAAAAAACACAAGGTCAACGCTCGATTCGCTGTATCGTTTTGTATTAATAGCGCGGACGCGTGTGGAGTTTAAGATACTTTTATCAGGGTTTGTGATTCCCGAATTAGAAACCGAAATTAAAACGAGGTAAATATCGAAGAACAATCAGTTGAACAGCGAATATTCTTTAAATATCCCCACAAAGCCTATTCTTCGTTATATATCACGATATTAACATCATCTATTATTAACATCCATTAAACCTACCTCATTTGAGGTTACTTAGGTCAAGTTTTCCGGAAATTCATAATTAACTTTATAGTCTATATACTAGAAAAGTGCATAACAAGAAAAAATTTTCAAATCGAATTTAACAACAAAATTAATCCGCAAGTCCTTACGAAATGTGTGATCAAACACATGAAAGTGTAAATGACTATGCATATACAGTACATATATAAAGTTTAGGGTACACAGTTCCCCTAAAAACACAATTTATAATGAATTGGGGATCAACTGCCTATTAAGATTTTAAGTAACGTCGGCAAGAGTTGCCAGTGTTACCTGTTGGTACTTAGCCCTCATGGCATGAGCTGATTTGAAGACAACAGCTGAAAGTCTCCTTGGTACCAAAACCTCTAATTCTAAAGTACATTAAAAAAAAAGCAAGCAGATGCTATGCATTTCTGTCTGTCAATAACTAAAGATTAAGTTATAAAATTATGCTTCCAGCGAGTGATGAAATAGAAATCCTTTTTAGCGCATTTTCTCATTTATGGAAAAAATGCACTATTGTGCTCGCCATGTCCGTCTGTCTGTCTGTCCGTCCGTCTGTCCGTCCGTCCGTGACCTCAAGTTTTCGTCGACGAGAAAATGTGCTCTCTGTCACTCACTGCAGTGAGTACTGAGTTATATTTTTTCCACTAACATTCACGCAAGTCTTACGTATTCCACGAAGCCTATTATAGAGGTTACGATGCTGAAGACTCGACCCAGCGGCGTGTTACGAGTGAGGGAAAAAGAGGGTTGCCTACACTTCTGTTTATCTCTCGTAAGCTGTTGATAGACTACAAGAGGCGTTAACTGCACCTTTCAGCGCATCCATTTGCGCGAGGCAATTAAGAAGCTTTTGGTAAGCATTGCAAAACTTTTCAGCCGAGTTCTTGCTCGTACGAATAAAGAATTATGTCTAGTGATAGATAATTAGGAAACAAAAAATGGGAAATCTTTCAAGTTTTGGACATCAAAAATTAAGATCCTGGCGGGTCTCTATAGAAAAATTATCAATCAATCCATCAGAAAAAAATTAATTCAACAAGCCTGGACAGAATGCACGGGACAGAATTGGACATATAGTAAATTACATATGGTATGTATCTGATGATGTGTCCGGTGTGTCATTTTTTGATCTTGAATACTTCTGTTTGCTCGAATTCAAATTTCTGCGCAAAGGGTTTTCATTCTTAAATAAATATTTAGATTTTACACACGAACCATATACTTTTCAGCGTCGATATTTTTCCCCTAATGAGCGCGACTATGGCTTTAAATGTTGAGCGACTTATCCATCCCATTTAGATGAGCCAAAAAATCTACAACTTAAAATTTCGATGAGAAAATTCAGTGGAATGTGAACAAAACTCAATCAGTGTGAACAAAACTCAATCAGTAAACAACACTTGTTCTTTGAAATAATTTATACCTTTATGTTATCGCGTGTACGTAAATGTCAGCATAATTGTCACCTGCTTCTATTCGCATTGCTTTCAATTATATAATTACGATGAAGTAATGACCAGTAACGTTAAATGGCTAGCTCTTGTTTGCAGTAATGCGGCACTTGATTAACAGTCATCACGTCAATAAGGACGCTAATTGCACAAATGGTTTTGAAGACTTGATTACAGAGAGCAGACTTTGCAATCACAAGGATCGAAATGTTAGTTTGCTGTAATTCGTAAGGTGGGAAAATGACGATCTTCTTGAAATTAAGTTGTTTAATTGTTTTTGTAATGTATCGAGATTATGTGTTGCCTTGTTTACATCATAAATATTTAGAAAAACCAGTGAAAAATGTGCAGTAAATCTAAATGATTAGTTAAATAGAAAGCAATTTAATGGTTGAAAGGTACTGCCAACAAATACAGGAAAAAACATTCAAACCCTTCCTGATAACCCCATTCGTACGTAGAGATTTTTCTCTTACAAAAAGAAATCTTTGAACCTTACTATGATCGCCTCCGACGTCTCGCGACTTATGTCACGAGAAAATTAATCTTTTTAATTCTTTAAATAAAACGAAGAGTGTCGTAGATAAGCCAGGTATAACTAAATAACAACTCCCATGCATAATTAATCTAAACCATCCACTGAAAGCCAGTCGCCTTCTTTTTAAAGCTTCAACTTCTCATTCAGAAGCTTATAAGATTAAATGCCTATCTTAATTGAATTTCTGCTTGGAAGACGCTGCTTTCATAACTCTTATAGAGAATTCAGTTCCTATTTAATACTTTTATGAAGCAGTAATTGATTGATCAAAGATGTACTGCACAACCTCTATAGAAGGTTCGAATTTTGCTCTAAAAATGACAAATTATCGCAGAAACTTTCTTCTGACATTTTTAATTATAGAGAATAAAAAACAAAAAATTTAATACGATGACCAGAGTTCATCCTCTAGTTCATGGCTTCTCATGACCGATAAAATTTGCGTCATCGCTCATTTGCTTCCTTAGCGCAAGCTTTATACATGTGCTGTTCATGTTTCAATGGCTGTATACACTTTATATTGCAAATTCTGAATATTTTCTTTGTTTAGACTTGCAATAAAGGCCTTAATACACAAAAGCATTTCAATAAAGTATTACTAAAGAATTCTGATTGAATAAATTCACTCAAGTGACACTACTATGCATTTCATAGTATCACTGAGGACCAATGCCGTTTCCGTAGCAGAGCGTTTGCTTTTTGCCACCGGCCAAGATGTAAAACAAGAGCATCCAGCAGAACTGTTGCAAACTACCGTAGTTCCTTTTGCAGTTGCTCTTTATTTTCGTAGTGTTTTGGTGGAATCTTTCCCCATAAAAAAATAAGTAAATAAATAAAAATCAGAATCCTTCGGTACCTCATAGCTGAGGTC